CAGGTGATGATGTTACGTTTTACGTGGAAACAAACGATGTGGAAAACACAACGGTGGTGGTAGAGTTCTATCTACAGGAAGTAAAACCTTTGCCAAAAGATGGTGAGTGTTGTTTTTGAATTTTTTCAACTACGCGCATTTTTTCCGATGAGCAGCAGCCATGAAGACCTGCTATTGAGTGATGAAAACCGGACTTTGAGTGGCGAATCACATGACGCCCCACTAGGTTAGGTGTGGTATTAAACCAGACGACAGAAAATATGTCTACCACCAAAGTTGAGTGGCGGTAGCGGGGCTCGAAGCTCGGACCACAGGGTCCGAAGCACGCCGGTGACAGCGACTAAACTACTGCACCACCACCATTCATAATTTGCACGGGTAACATCGGTTTTTGGCGTGTTTTATTTAAGTGAACCATGTTTTTGACGAATCCCAAATTATTTACCAAGCGGGACAGCAAAAGAGAGTATATTTATCAGACTTTATTCATGTTGTGTATATATGAGATTTGCATTTAGTTTTATTTTTCCTCCCAGAACAATTTAATTTGCTTTAAAACATGACATTTTTCTGCAGAAAGTATTCTACTTGGTTATAAACACTGAAGATGGGAAACTTATTTTCCGATATATTTAATTGCAAGCGAACAACGATGAAACATTGGCTGTTATCACTTCCTTAACGTTTAATAGCTTATTGAAGTACAAAACAATCTTCTTGTGTACCACACATAGGTTAAAAATTCTAGAACATGAATAAACGTTGAATAGTTTCTACAGGTTTGCACATGGTGATATTACTTCGAGTTTTCCCTTCCCTACTTTTATTTTCTAAGTGCTACACTTATATACCTAGACGTCATGTTTTCACACTCAGCGGTGATGATGAGTAATAAAAAGCACTCCTGTTAATAATCATCAATACGTTTATATTCCTTCTGGCTTCCCATGATCATTTCTCCGATAATTCTGCAAAATATATGTCCACACATAATGCTAGTCACCGTTGTGAAATTTGGTTTCAATTTAGCTTTACCGCCAAAACATACACCTTTGCGGTTCATCGGTTGTGCTCGATTCGGCCCCTTTGAATGCACTAATGGTCGAAAAGCATCACAAATCCTAAATGCAAAACAACTTCCAATCGGAGACCTCCGCGGTACGTCCTCTCAGGCTACCCAGTTTGTCATTGATTGTATCTTATAACTTGGACACAACTTTTGCTTCTTTTCCCTTCAACTAAGTTTTGTAGATTTTTTTATTGGATTCTCTCGGTTGCCTCATATTGGAAAGGATTCCCATCGTGAATTCCCCTGCATTTTGTCGTTAACTGTTTTTGGTATGTACCACAGAGTAATATTTGAAGGAAGGCATATTCCAAAGGATTTACTCTATGGTAAAGGTAATTAGTAACTCCTGTTGTAACTGTAGCAAAGAGCCACGATTAGGCGTACGTGCTTTATTGTATCTAGTGTCAGAAAAGCTACCAAATATACCAAACAGCAGATAACGATTTGATATTTGTACCTCACGTATGCTTTAAGCTTGATTAAATGATATTCACCAGATTCTTCAATCCCTTGCCATTAGTTATTGGAATTTCTAAATAATGCAACTCACTGTTGGAATTTGCTCCTCACTGAAAAATCACCTCAGTGCTGTGGATTCTTTAAGGCAGATACCGTTGCTATATAACGTTAGCTAAAAAAACGAAGTAGCTCTATTGAGCATTAATAGCTGATACCAGCAATGTATAATTTGAAATCTGTTTTCAAATAATCAGTTGCGTTTCAGTGATAACCGGTATTTAATTGCAGTGGAAACCGGATTATTGTACGTTAAAGAAACTAAAGAGACTGGAGGACTGCTCGCATCTGACTCTATCCTGAATGCCGTGTTGGAGTGTAAGCTATCCCCACCATGAATTCCAACAAACGATATAGCTGGTGAATATCGCTGCAGTGACTCAATGGTTCCAAATTTTGGTGTTTTCCTAAATTCTAACGAAATCTCCCCATTACACTATATCAACAGATGACATGGAATAAATTAGAACGGATAGGAATAGTGAACTGGTCTGTTTGTCTATTATCATTTCTTTTAAAAAGCTTATGTCCTGTCCAGTTCATCTGGATTCCCATCAATGATTACATACTATATAAACTATAAACCAAAATTTGGGCATCGTTTTAGTTATATCATTCAGAATGAATTGTTTTTTGCGATCTTTTAGTCTACTTCCTTGTCATACATCCGATGACCAAAGCACCACCTCNCGTATCAACACCACTGGAAACATCGTGGTACAGTCGAAATCGGTCACCGGGGCATGGGCACATCCTTTTTCGGTCACACGGAGAAGAACAAAAAGTACGTTCTTTCTGCTATCTTGTACGGTACGGCCTACCTGGATTGCACAATATTTACTTTTGTGTTATCCTTTGGCTAGTCCGTCCCTATTCTTCTGCGCTTCATGGGTTGTAAGGTTTTGCGAGGGGACGGTAAGTCTGACCCATTGTCACCTTTAAATGCGCAATATAATTTAAAGGCTCAACGCAAATGGAAGAGTGAAAGCTCTCCAGGTCGTCTTTGTGATTCACAACTATACTAGCGGTGATTGGATATTTACCTGACTTCTCTCGGCCTAATATTGTCTATGTTTGGCTGCGTCATCGTTTTTAATTGATTGTTTGGGATACTGTGTGTTCATAATGTAATCCGGTGCGGCTGAATTTTGTTAGGAATGTCCTTATTGGAAAGTTGAGTTGTCTTAAGGCCTCCCGAGAGATCTACTAAACAGGCATATTCATGCAGCTGTATGTGTGACACTGATTTGACAAAACAGTAATAGATGAATCATTTCGGGATGTGACTTGGGATACCTTAAATTTCCGGACATTCGCTCACCAAGGCGACAGAAATTTTCGGCTTCTGAACAAACAACAGATATTCGCACCCCTTTTTATCGTTGAATAACACAATGCAGTTGCTTATCGTAATTCATCCATCATGAAATTACTTCCAAAATAATCTGGATGACAACCGAACGTTTTGCACACAGCATCGCATTTCCAGCTTGTTCGTGGCAATTGGAAGCTTCAGTGCCGCTAAACCACTTTGGTGGCTGAACGACACAAAACAGTCCAGATGGATCCCAAGTACCGTACCCATAAACTGATCAATACGCAAGAGAAAGTACATTCTGTTCATTGATTTCAGTTTACTTTCGCACGCCGTCAATCTGTCACTTGGATCGTTTGCTATTTCCACTTGCCTTGTCTCCCTTTCCGCTGTCTCACTTGCTTTCCGCAGGCCGGCCACCACGAAGGAGAATACGCTGGACTCCTTCCGAACGGCGGTCCAACATGTAATTACCGGTCACTTGGAAATATGTGGTTTCTATATTGTTAAATTGTTCGTTATCATTTCGTATCCGTTTTACCGCGAAATTCCGCTTGGATTGGTTTGTTCATCCATGGACACATGGATTCTGTTGGTTCGCGTCCGTTTCGGACCACATCAAGCTGGTTGAATAGACCTTTTCACAGTTCACTGCAAGCAAACTAACATACCAAAGGCATGCTTATTTCATAGGTGGCACCAACCTGGCATGGGAGTCTGGCCAGTTTGTGATGCATCCGTTACGCTAACCGAATTCCCTCTTACAACNCTTACAACGGGATCAGCGGTGAAGGTGCATCATAGATCGATTCTTTTTCTTTGGGAGGTGCAACAGACATGACTTGTGGTCTCATAGGGCCAACTGTATCTGTTTATCTTTCCTGAAATTCGTTAAACGGGTTGGCTTCATTTGCTTGAAAGTGGTCTTTTTAGGAAAAAAAGAAGCCACTATCCTTGTTTATTCGTTAAGTAGCAATATGGAACCGTTTTATCAGTTCATTACATCGACCACCTTTAGGAGACCTCATATAATAGTTGTTGCTAACTTTTATAAGGTATAATACGGCAATATCAAACATTTATGCCGTCAATTTGCTGAACGCTATATATGTTAAATTTAATGTCAACTGAGTTCAACTATTGGTTTCATACTTTAACCTTATGAGGAACTTCTCTTACTATATGCAGTGGAACTAGCAAAATCAGTGATGACTGGTAGCATACCACGTGTCGTTTCTATTCAGCTACTCCATACCTTCAAGATAACCAGTTTTTTGTTCACAATAAACCGTTTTGATAGCATAGTTTGTTTCGAATTTACTGTGTAATTTAAAGCGGTTGCTGAAAATGTTTTTTCTTCATTTTTTATCAAGACTGCAGGTAGAAAAATGTAGCACTTCCCATCAATCTGGTAACTATATGAGTTCGAAGGAGCAGCACCATGTTTTCTAGGACTCATTACCGGGTTGAGCTTGATGTATTCTTGGAGCTGTGATTAAAAGAGATATTGGAACCTATAGTTGATTGGGTATCAATCACAGGCATTCATGTGATCTCGATGGAGACTGAGCTCATGGAATGGTTTATCTACTTGTAACTGAAGGTATCAGTTTATGTCCCACTTCCGGTAGTTCACCTTACTTGTAAGCAGCATTGTTTCGTTTGGTATAATAATTTCTGCGACACCCTCCAAGAGGTCATCACTTCCATTCACACTCGAATCGTATTAGAGTAATAATGTTCAATCTTTCCACTTTAGTCTTAAACAATGCTTCAAAGAACTAAGTGAAACCAATGGCATCATTACTGACTCACCTACGGAAAATTCTGGAAGATTACGACCACGTATATAAACTAGCTGAAGTTAAGAGTGATCTCATTCATTAGGAACAAGAATGAAACGACAGTTGTTAATTTCTTATCGCTTGCAGTGGACATAAATAGGTAAAACTAAGCCATTGCCAGTTTTTAGTGTGTGCCTTCATTTTCTTTTCGATTACGCACAAATTCACGCCAACTCTCTTTTCACCCTTTTTACTGTGGGTACACTTCCCGGATCGTGATTTCCTGTCACACGCACGCGTTGGCTGTTTCCACATCTGTCCATACTCTCAAAACCTCTATGGGCATTTGCGATATAGGGTGCGGATTACGTAGAGATGGACGTTCAGCTGACCAAAGATCATAAAGTCATAGTTTATCATGACTACGAAGCTGTAATCATATCTAAGAAGGTGAGTTTATTACATTCTTTTTTTGCCTCAGTACTTGTGGATAAATTGAATGTTTGAGAAGCCGATGAGTAATCAACCCTAACTTAGTTTTTTACCATGAAAACATGTTATCGGTGTAGGTGATCAACCGCTTCTTTCCTTGAGTTAGTCTACTTTTCGTTGGAATGATTGAACTAGCTTGTATCACAAATAATGATCCGCAATCTGTTATTTTGGTTATGGGTGAAATTGAACTGTTCGAGTGATATTAAGAGAGATGTGATGAGTTTTTTCTGCATTTTAGAGTCGAAAATACTGCTTAGGAGGCAAGTCATCAAGTGCTGCCAGTTACAAAACAAATTGATTTTCAGCAGACCACCATAAAGTCTCCACGTTTTACGTGGGCAATTCGTCCGCAACGTCTGTGAGTCGTGTGCATGCTGGTGCTGCTAGTCGATCAATTTTGTCCAAAGACATGAAAACATGATCGTTATATTTGTGTGATACGTAAATGTCACTACCTTTAAGTACTGTGGTTCGGTTTGGTTGACCCCGCAAAATCATCAAACTTGCACTTACAGTATATTAGTCCTTGTTTTGATATTTCAGTCTGCTATCAATCCATTGGTTCAGCGTAGACTGGGTTGCTTATTGATGGTTAATTCATTACAAAAAATTCTTTGGCGGGTGTTGCATGCGAAGAAAGAAGTATGCAATTTTTTAGATGAGTGGTGACTTCTAGGTTAACAACCAAATTAAAAAAGCCTGAGTTCGGGTAAAATGCGTTCTTTGAAAATATAAAAACTCAATAATTCATCTAACCATTTCAAGTATACTCGCATCTAGGTGCACTTTACGATTTGCTGGTCATTCATGTTCAGTTTTTTACTATCTGGAGATATTCTTCAAAGCCATCAACTTAAATGGTCTTTTGATATACTTGCATCACTTCACATATATCGAGTAAAAGTTGCTTGATTCTGACACGGCCGTTTTTACACTGTTCAGGTGGTTGCAACAATCTGGACATGCATCCTTTATCTCAAGGGGCGCTGTGTTGTGCAGTGAACGTTGACTTTGGTAATTTGAAACCTATAGACGGGTAAAATCTCTCGCAAGTTGATCAAGTTCTGATAATATTTTCAGCCCACGGGGCTGTCATGCCTTGTGAGGACAGTTTGTAGTTATTGTATCGTACCTGGTGCATAACTGTTGTCTGGCTCTTTAAATCCGTTTCAAAATAGAAGCATCAAACGGTGCTAACTATTTAATAGGATAGACAGAGCATGGTAAAGGACTTCAAATTTGTAGAATCTCAATTTGTTCACAGTTTGAATTCAGATAGCGGAAATATGAACAGCTTTCGTTCCGCTTTGCCAACCCAAAAATACTCACTGCCGTGTGAGAACCCGATTTCCACAGTACTTTTTCATTTTACGGGCGGGAAATTCATACAGTACAATGCAATCAAAACAAGACTGATGTAATTGTTTCACATTTTTCAGTTTCACTCTTGCGCACCATGCTCCGTACAAATTTCACGTCTGTGCTTTTGAACACATTATAAACCCAATTACTATGAAAATTCTCATTATTCTATATACACTCCTTTGTCTAATTGTGGTACAATGTGTTATTCAGTTGAGGCTCCAGTAATCTCGAGGTCTTTATTGGACATTCACCGCATCGGTTTTTTGAGATTCGTGCATGATTGCAACTAAACCTTACTAGCAGTAAAGCTTTGTCGGTGATCTGATGTTGTAACTCATCTAACTCCTGGTGCAACAGTGTCTGGTAAGCCAGCATAACGCTTACCAAATTGATTGATATCAAGTGCATTCAGGCCGTCGTCCGATTCCGTAGTTCATCACTTTCCGGCAGACAAATTTCGGCAGCTGCATCTGTCATAATTGAATCTCGGATGAAATATCGTCGCTTTAACCTTTTCAAATACAGACACCGGCTTTTCAGTGATATATGGTTTTCTGTGGAGGACGACATGTATGCTGTTGCAGCTGGGAAAGTCTCCTAGGTGATACTGAGAGATGGCCGTTAAGAGTAAAATGTGAAATGTTAGGTATGTGAGTAGCTCTTTGTGAGCAACACTATGTGAGTCTGGTAGAAAAACTGAACAGACACTGTTTGGGTGGCATTCGTTCAGGCTTTGGTTTCAGTATTTTGTTGTTGGACCAGATTGGTAACCAAACCTGAGTCCGGAGTAGTAAACCTAAATGTTTTCACAATATGAAACTAAGACTCATATTTTGGTGAATACCGGCCTTTTCTTTGACCTACTTCACCCAAGTCTAGATGGATTTGGTCTTCAGTGATCTTCATCGTAGAGATATTTCGCAACTGTTTTCCCCATAAGATCTACCCCATATTTCAGCAACCCCGATGGAAAATATGGCATAAGGATAAATTCTTTCGTATGTCGGTCGCTGAATGCAGAACTACGGAGAATACTGATGAAAATGAATCAGTTTGTGAAACCACTCAGTCTTCATTTTTATACTCACCCCACAATACGGACTGCCATCGTATTTATATGAATAAGAAGGTCCAGGCAAAAACGTGATTGTAGGATCGAACACATTCGTTTTTTGGAGCTCAGGACTATACCCCCCCCCGTCGACACTTGAGTTGTCGTTTTCCTTTCTCGAAACAAAACGATACGATGCGGATCGACGAATCACCGAAAGCGATCCTGTTTGCCAAACTGTATTCTGTTTCAATGTTTGATTCTGGTGTATTTCGTGAATTAAGAACTGTCTAACAGCATAGCGTCCCTTCGCATTCGATAATTGTTTCTTTATCGAACTGTCTGATGTTTCAGTCTACCTGCTCTTTAGTTACCCTGAAACGGCTAGAAATCGTACGCTGTTCCAACTGCAGAGCCGTATAACCGATTCAGCACACCCATTATTTCGTAGGGTAGAAGAATACTGCCTGAGTAATACTCTTATAAGAGTTCGTTCGTGCTCGGTGGTGGAAAAGCTTTGTAAAGTCTGACGTCAACCAGACCAATTGATCCTAACTCCATACACCCTTGTAAACTGCTGCCTGACGGACGAGTGGTCAAAAGCATGTTTTCTCGCTAATGTGTTCTTATGATGTGACAACCGTATATCTTCACACAATAAGCTATCCTGTTTATTTTCTTGTTTTTTGCATTCTACCAAAAACACTGGAAGAAACGAGGTGGACAACTGTCCTATCTTCCTATTGCTATCAAAGATTTGACGTACGATGATCTTCGGGAATTGAAGGTCCATCACTCAAGCGTGTTACATGAGGACCACAGCCACGAGAGTGAGTCTACCCTCAGTGGAGTTGCATTTCTGCGTTTGAATTTATCATTAACCAACAAAGACGTTCCCTTGTCCGTCTGTGTTAAACACTTTCTGCTGGGGTATAATTATTTTTTGAATACTTGTGTGCTTGAAGTAGGCATGAAGGCTTGCCCGTGGATGATAGTACAATTGAAGAATTTGAGAATTTTTGTTTGCGCACTACATCACAACCGTTGACTATGTTCCTTGTCAAATCGGATTTTTTCTCATTGCTGCATATGACGCTGTTTCTATGACAAATATTGTTAACTCCTGTCCACCCATAAACTTTATCATTCATCTGGAAACCACGCTTACTGGGTCAGTAGAAACTGCAAAGGGATAGTAGACATATCATTCATTTAGTAGATTGTGGTTTGAAAAAGCGAAGTGTCTCTGCTCAACTGATCAGTTGCGGTAGACGGTGGGCGAAGCTGTGAGTAGATTTTATAGTTAACATGACCAATGCAATAATGACATTTATCGAATTAAATTCAATTTTGAATTGCAAACAAATTTCATTGACGTCTTTTTGACGGTGAATGTTAGTAGGATAAGTAAGATAATCTCACGTGTACCATATTACATGACAATCGATGTGGGATTGAAACTTGTATCTACGTTCCAGGATTAAAGGCGAGAAGAATTACTGTTTTGTTCAGTGCTAAGAACGACTTTCGAAGTTCAAAACTATTGATTAATCGATAAATATTATTGTTTGATTATTTTTGCACTCCGTACTCCAATCAGAAGGGCAGCAACACAACCATAGGAAAGTTTGGTCATGAGAATCATCAAATCAATTCATGTTATTTAACAAGGTTAGTAGCATACAATTCTGATTGTGTGTACGTCGTTTGATCGGACAGCTAATTTGTTTATCAGTAATGTTGAAAAACGCGTGATGTTGTGACAGTCAAATGCTGACTTATCACACTGTAAGGCGCTAGTCAAGCAAAATTTCCCCGTTTCCACATGTGAAATTTCCCACACATTTTGGAGCAATCTATACACGGAGTGATTCATTTTTTCAAATTGCTGCTTAATGTGTGTTTAAAACGAAAATACTCGGAACTGGTGCGTTGTTGAGTTCAATTAAAAAGCAACAGTAATCTAACAATTTAGTGTTCGACCTTTTTCGATACATTCGGTAAACTCAGTTTCATTTTCAGTTGGTTCAACCATTAGCCATGCACTATCGTACGCCGGTTTTGGTTGCTGTCTTTTGACCGCCCATTCGGATGTACATTAGGAGAAAGACAGGAAAGCTTGAAGTGGGATCAAGGAGAAAATTTAGAATTTTAGTGGAATAATGTTGCGGAGAAATTGACAAGATGCACAAACGCCACTGTTTACGACATTCAGCCATATCACTCAGTGTCTCTGACCATCGATTACGATCGTCCCGAGGTCCCCATCCAGGCAGCCTAACGGGACCTATGTGACCCAGACTCCTGGTAAGGGTTTTCATACCCAAATGCCAGGTCTTAGCTTGACCATCCTTGGCTTTCTTCCATCCACTACCTGCCTCGGCAAACATCGCTCGCCGTGGCTACCTATCTGGAAACTAGGAAAAACAATGATATCAAAACAATGTTTCTGAATGACATGCGACAAAAGTCACGCCAGTTGTACTAAACACGACGGCCATCTCTCTTGTACATTATACCCGATGGGGTCAGATGACTTCCTTGCATTTAAGTGTTGCATGTAAATAGAGGACAATTTCAAANATGTTCCTCATTTCGATTAATCACCACGATTGATTTATACTCTATCTGTTGGGCCGTTTGCCTTAGGGGCTGCCTTACGACTTTCATCGTGCTTTTCAAATCGTCTGAGTAAGCTTTGGTTTTGTCATTTAACATTAGCAGCTCGCGAAATTTAACTATACAAATAACCCACATTTACTTAAAAAAGATGGGGGGGGGGAACCGAGTATTGTAACTTNGGGTTACACAACAGAGCAGTTTCTCATATCTCCATCGGTGTGCAATCAGTTTGCACAGATACACACTCAGCTTCGGACCGATTTTTTCGTGCCGGTTCTCGTCACATCGTGCACTTACCATGTTTAAATAGTTTAAAATTGACCTCAAAGGTTGCTATGATTTTTGTGATATGTTCGAGGCTTGGGTAGGCAGTTTAACTGCACTCCAGGAACGTTTACGGTATATGCCATTTATTTTTGCCATTGTTTATTCTGAGTGCCAGCATTTTTTGATTATAGCAGTCACTAATATATCCACTATTTCCAAATGCCCGCTCACTTTCAATCAACAATTACCTTCTGACTCTTCGCTCTTCTGATTTCACAAAACATTTCAATAGAAATGGACGAAGAAGACCTGGATCCGATTGAGCTGCAATCATTCCCGTTACTTCGTTCCTGCTTTGAAGAAATTGATCCTGATTTGGGATTTGTGATTGAAGTGAAATACCCGATGGAATTCAAGGTGAGATTTATTGATGATAACTTCAAGAACTATTGTTCTATCATTCGGTTTGTTATGCGCATTTAGACGACCAAGACCTCAGCGCCTGCCACTCAAGGAGAATTAGTGTTTTTTTCTCTCCAGTGAAATAACACTTACGGCGTAATTCAACTGTTACTATTGAATATTTACCGATCAGTCTTTTTTGTTTCTTGTAAACCCTCATTACGCTAAATGCAGGAACTATCTCCAACAAATATAGGTAACCCAAATAGATTATCGCTTGAGCTAAGTGCCAAACAGTTTGAAAAATACATTGATGGTCTTGCATCTACTGACTGTTCTCATTGAGGTAGCTGTCTATAGGATAACAGGACCTTGTTTAGCTTCTCCTTATTGACAATTGTTCACCAATAGGATACGACGTGGAAACTCAAACCCATCTTCATCTTCAGTGCATCCAAACATTTTATACTCATCAATGAATCAGTGTAATTAACCAAATAACAAAGTTCGGTTAGGGAGAGAAAAATGGCTACTTTCAACTACCAGTCGCACTAGTTCAGAGTTTTGATTTGTTCTAGGGTGAACATAAAAATGTCTTGATATGAATCCTGGAGATTAGTACCACCAATTTCTTTCCTCGATCTGTCCTCGAGGGTAGAAGAGAATGCGATTGTGTCAGTTTACTGAATGAAAAGTTTTTGGGACCTATTTCCTCTTCTGGGCTCCTTTATGTGTAACTATCACCCTGACCTGTTTTTAAATACCATGTAAAGATCTGCCAACTTCAGTGTATGAAGAATAGCACAGATATAACCACAAATAATATTTAACTGTCTATATAAATAAATATAAATGAGCAATGAAGCGGCAACCTAATCTAGAATGATTCATGATTAATCATTTCCTCCACAATGACGCGACATACTTCCTACATTTCTGTTGTTATCATAAAAAACTCATAATCACTTCTGTTTTCGAGCGTTCAAAAGTACTGATTTTTGTACTCGACACCACTGAGTTCTAGGAAATTTCGAAGTGAAAAGCCAAGGTGTTACTGTTGCTCTGCTGTTCTCTGTCCTTAATGATACACGTCCATCCATATTGAAGATTAAAACCAGGACTCCATTTCCGAATCACATCAGACATCTGGGAAGCCTTTCCCCGTACTACCACTTATACTTGCAAACTATTTACATGTTACCGCCAGTAGTCTTCTAAGCCTTATGTTTGTCCCCCTGCACGTAACCCGAATCTGATGAGCATTTAAAACTGGGATGCACCATTTCATGACAAAGCATCAGTGAGTAAATTGCGTCCTGTTAGCATCATCGGGTTGTGCTTCCGTGTTGTTTGTTGTGCTTTAGCAACTATTCTTCTACTGCTACTTCTACTACTTCGACGTTATTGAAAAAGATATGATGGGAATGATCGTTATCGGAAAAGTGAATTTCATACCCCCAAACAAGAAAAGCGTTTGCTCAATGTCTCGTATCTGTTAGGGCAAATATGGGCTAATTCGATAATTTTTTGTATTGCACACACGTCTGAAACCAGATTATGTGCCAAACAAATCATAGTACAATAATCTTCATAAAAAAGAAAGTTCCATAATGTGTTTGTGGGCGGAATACTGCCAGGTTGCCCAGGCCAATGTAGGTGAATTTTCTTCAGGAATTCACAAGCGGAATCTTCGGCCAACCAAAGCCTGACCCGCAAGGCAGCGGGGCAGCGTGTGAAGACCGCAACCATTAGGGTCCGGTGTTCAGTACATCGAATCATACCCCCTTTGGACGGGATCAAACGTCCAAGGTACCTAATACACCTCGATGCTCAATCAAGCCGGTGACCACTGCCACAGCCAAGGTGTGGATGAGTGTGGTTCGGACGTCTCTTGGTTAGTTTGGAATCAGGGTTTATAACCCACTCCCCTAGGTGAACTGACAGTGATTCACTGACTCCGGTAATTGTCATAACGTGTATTCGAAAATGCATGTTCGCTTTCAATGATTAATTCTCTAGTCAGTATATAGTATGTGGGTTTAGTGTGCTTCAAAGTTGATTTTTATTCTGTTAGAATTCTTTTGTGATTTCAAAAGTGGGCACAGATTAGAGGTGGGGGAGTGATTGTGGGTCATATCATGAGCACTATACAACATTGCAAAGGAACGGCGAAAATTTTAATTTTTTTGATGCGGTAAATATTTTCATAAATGGAGAGTGCACAAACATGAAGTAGAAAACCGGGAAACCCTGTAAAGCTTTTTAACCTTTGGGATCCAGATGGAGCGATGGATTCACCAGATCCAACAGCTATACAGTGCTTCTCAGCCTTGTAGTTCATGTATCCTTTGCTCTATACATGATGGAATTCATCCATACAGCACGACGCACCATTTGTTCAAAGACATTGGTTCCAAATTTGGACCTTAGATTGACAATACTATTTCAACTGCGAGATTTACTTTTCCATGATCGATAAGACGTGTTTCAATGGGCAGATCTATTCTTTGTTTATTTCCGCGTATAGGCTGGAGGATCTGAAATGAGCAATTTCTTCGAATACAACTTCTATGTGGATACGATACTGCGGGAAATCTTGTTGCATGCGGGTACTCGACGGATCCTACTCTCTTGTTTTGATCCAAATGTTTGTATTATGTAAGTTTTCCTGTGGATACTGACGAGAAACTTCCAACCACGAGGTTCAACATATGCCCGTTCTTATTTATAATACTCTTGAAATTGGAAAGTTTGGGGTCGGAGACGTTTTGATACATTAAAAAGCGCAATATCACGTTAAAAAATAAGTTACGGGGATATATGACATAATCTGACATAATCAGAATTACTTCATTGATTAAGTTTAGCTTAGTCAAACATGTTTGAGTAGATGCAGGACCCTGGTGAAATTCGGGATCGCTCTAAATTAATGTCAGACGTTGATGCTGACCATTGATAGGCGAAGTGTTAGTCTGAGGTCTTGGTTGAGTACGCGTATAAGTCCGGAGTAACTGGGGTGAATATACCTATTTGGTTACTTATGATATTTAAATACGTTCTTAGCTCCTAGATCAACTCTGGCATTCTATTTGTTCTTACTAAGCTTTATCAATCTGAAAAACACACTGCACTTCCACTTGACCCTTGAGATGGGGTTTAGTTTTCAAACTGGGCCAAAACATCTGATTTATCTGAACTATTTATGTTTTCACTTGCGAAATGCACCTTCGAGGTCACGAAAATGCTGCAAAACCAAGTTAAGAAATGCTATTATGCACCTTGATGGGTGAATGTTAGGCATGATTTACAACTCACAGGGAAGCGACAGAGCAATGTGTTAAAAATGGATGAGAAATAAATGTAAAAGCTAACACAAAAGACCAGCTGATAGATTAGCAATAGTGGATATTCGGTTCACTAAGATTTGCACTAAAAAAGGCTATTGTTGGGATAATATGTAAATGTGCGGGTACGGGAGTAAGAGACAGCTTGAAGGAGTTCATTGTCTCTTCAGTGATATGTATGGGACAGAACGGCGTTTGGTAGACTGGTCACATGCATAGAAATGCTGGTGCACAATGAAGTCCACAAAATAATTACGAGGAGTACCACTGAATCTGGGTAAGAATATCAGATTCAAGTCTTTGTCTTTTAACAATGATGGGGGAGCAATACATACTGCAGGTTAAAATTTACCAATTAATCATTGGAAATATCAATTTTCCTAACTCTGCAAGTGTAAAAGAACAACTTGTAACAGCACTTTGAACGAGTATAGATCATGACAAACTGTGAGATAAAGTAATACCTAAATATGTTCTATACGTGGCCATAGGGATAGGTTTGCAACAAATAATGAGGGGTGAAAATTTATGAAAAATCGGTTGGTGTCACCAAACCAATTAAAGAATAATGAGAATATGAACGCTTTTTAAACACTGATCTCCGCGAAGCGGGACATGGATCACTTGCAAAGATCAGTGAAGCATCCTTGGAGAGAATCGAGTGAAGGTGGACCTGTGTATAGACATCTAACTGTGACATCAACTGTATACTTGCAACCAATAAGAACACGGGAATTAGGAGGATCCTTTGTGTACAAGGAGCAAAAGAAAGAAGACTGAATGGGTCCCGGAAACAAACCAGAGCTGAGGGGAATGCTGAATAACGTTTGGTAATGCAGCAGATAAATTGTTTCGATTGTGAATTACTTGAGTAAAGCTATCTTGCTGAATACCACACATGTGCCCACCAGATTCGTGCAATGTTGCGTAGACAGCGGTGCTCGAACGCCGATAGTCTTTATCCTGTTTTCTTAATGACCAACTTTCCGCGCTGTATAGCAGAACTGGCCGAATTACCACCGCAGGATACTCGACCCGTCACGTACAGCCTGATCTCTAGGTGGCGCCACAGATTTCCCAAGTTAGTGAATGCCAATCAAGCCTTCTGTATGCGAGCGGACACTTCATCCGTGATGTGTCCACCAGGTGAGATATAGCTGCCCAAATAACGAAACTTGTCCACTTGGTCCATTAGTTCCGCAGTAGGAGTGAGGTTAAGTGTTGCATCAACCCAGTCTTGTACCAACATTTTACACTTTGAAGGCGCAAAACGCATACCGACCATGGTAAAAATATCACTCGAAATATCCAGATTAGACAGTCTACCACTTGGGAGCAAATCGATGCTGCTATCCTACCACGATGATAGGGCTATTTCAAGAAAAATATGTTCATTATAAATAGGACCAGCTTTTTCCATCTCTCTACACTTTCCTATCCACCACTTCTCGCGGTCATTTCTTAGACTCTTGATGAGCTGGAATGTAAGGGATTTGCGCATTGTCATAGGTGGTAGCATGAGGAAGGGTTCTACAGTTGTCCAGAAAGGCAGCCGAGGTTGACGAGATCCATCGTTCGTGCTTTGGGCCTGTGCCGGAGTTTGCCGTTATTTTTATCGATATTTGTATGGCTTCTTTGATTCGCTTCTAGTGTCTATTGAGTCCCTCGGCTAGTGGTTGACCTGATAGGCGATTGGACTGTTGCAATTCGAAGGTCGATTTGCAACTATCACGGATAGTATATCGTGGATATCCTTTGCCGTTAGTTTATTGCAGTTGTTTCCTAGGCGTAGGGAGCATGTGGCTCTTGCTTCATTTACTGACATCGCGAAATTGATTACGTTATCTCGTTTGGCCCAAAAACGGCCAGTGTACTCGAAACAAAAATAGAACCAATCTTTTAGAATTTATTAAGAAAATGTTTCTTTACTCTTTATATTATTGGTTACATTGTCTCACCAATAATTAGAAGCAATAGAAGTAATTTAATTAATAAATTTAACAATAGTGACTGATGTTTTCGGTATAGATGCNCACGTTAAGTACTCTTTCAGGTAATGTTTTTTTTCCACAGATTAACGGCATCAATCTCCTTATTTCCACCGGAGGCAGATTACTGACTACAACGGTGAAGCGAAGTCATAAATCTTTCTCAAAACAAGAACGTTTGATGTATGATTAATTTCTCACGTGGCGTTCTAAAGGCCGTCCATGTAATAATTGTTGGACTGTCGATTGCTTTTCTTTCTGAACTTCCCGTCAAGAAATCCGGTATCGGCTTTTCGAAAGGAGGTTTGAAATTTGGTTTCTTCTACCTAATCTAAAGTCAACCCTTTTTCATTCTATTCTTTTCCCCTGACGGAATTCTCGAAGCCAAGGATCTGTATAACCAATCACTCTGTTTTTACATTATTGATTTGCACATGTGCAATTGAAGAAGCGCTCTGATACCTCTTCTTCGTTTGTGTTGTTTTTTGTTACACAGGCTGCAATTGAAACAGAATCTCTATCCGGTCTTTCAGTTGGGTATCGCCCCCGAGTATTTGGACTCGCGGCACACCGATTTTGAACGGTTGTTTTGGTCAGCACTCAGCCATCAGCTTTTGGTGAGTATGTTTTATCAGTAATCTAAATTTTAGTACGTCCGTAAAGATATAAAGATGTCTCTTGCTTCTGTCGCTCACGGGATATCACTCAATATTTAGCTAGTGAGGTAAACCAATCAAAAGCTATAGCACTGACAAAACTGAAATCTCCATTTCATTCGAATGTCCGCAAACCATCAGATCGGCCAAAAGCCTGCCTTGTCTGAGACCCTTAAAGCTTTCCATTTAGATGTATGCTGTTTCTCCGAAACAGGCATACAAGACCCATCTTCAATTATCATCTTGCGTTCTCCGGATCCGACCTCATCCTCACACTTTACTGTTCGTGCGTCAGGTGGTTTGGCACCTGACACTCACATTGTTGCTGGTGTTACGATTGCGCTAAGTGCCAAGGCTGAGCAGTCGCTTCTTGACTGGATTCCAGTCAGTAGCCGACTTGGTGCTGCGATTACAGGTCAACAGCTACAGAGCAAAGCGTCCGTGCTTATTCATCGTATCGGTGTATGCACCGACCGATTGCAGTGCACCAGAAGCAAGGATATTTCTCAACTGCTTCAAACTGCTCAGTCGCTGGAATCCTCAATACTCAAGTAGGATCCTTGGGCGAATCAGAAAGATGTCTGAGTGGCCCTCACGGAATCCCAGCAAACCGAACGGGCAACGCAGATTGCCTATTTCAACCCTGCGCAGGCTACGGCTTGTTCTCATAAGGCACTAACTTCTTGTACCACTAGCGGAGCCGCCTCACGTGGAAACCCCCAATCTCTTCGCTACGATGGGCCCAAATCGACCACATCGCTAGCGGGGATTCATTAAAAACTGCCGTCCTCTCTGGTCAATGCCCATGGATAAGGGCCATCCTCTATTACGAGCCAACTTCTCCCTAAAACTGGTGACTGTCCGTATCCAGGTTGCCGGCCAAGGATGCTCATCATTCAGTGTAAGCGATATTTGTAAATTGACCGTCAACGCGAATCTTTGATCGCCTCTCAGTTCAAGCAACCGCTGTAGGACTCACTGAAAACAAGATGTTAATCAACAAAGCTATCCAAATGCTGATCTAAACAACCGCCGCTTCTGGCCCACGATCAAAGCAAAAACGATGAACATCGTCGACTTCGACTGCCTATTTTGCAAAGCTATTATTCCAGATACCAAGTACGACGGTGCGCGAATCCCTTAAACGCCAGCTCATCAAGAGTCTGAGGAATGACGGCGATAAGTGATAGATAGGAAAGTGCAGAAATGGAGAAGGCTGTGGTTATCGGTAATAGCCTCAATTTTTTTCATCTAACTGGGAGTACGGGTCCAAGAAAAGTAGTCGTAAGCGAGGTAATTAAGGAGTTCAACGGCAAACTGATTCATATTCACGGATGACGTCTCGACCGATAGGCTGAACATTTTGAGGCCCAGTCCATCTGGCCCCTATCGACATTAGAGAAGAAGGACACAGCATCAGCTTTGAATTCAACTAGCTCTACAATTTCAAATTTGCGAATGCAGATGAGTTTTGAAAATCGGAGGAATAAATGATTGATCATTCTTGCATTTTCCTGGTGATTATGTGCACACGGATCAATCTACGTATAGAAATGTAGCAACATGTTTCACGATTATCTCCGTCAGGGGTGGGTGAAATATCTCCTGTTATACATTAAAACACTCATCACAGTCTCAAATAGATCGTTTATATATGTATATTTTTCAACATGA